CTAGCGTGGAGCCTAGGCCAAACAAGTCAGGAGATCATACGCCTGACACAGCAGGGTATTCTAGACTACACATAGTGGATACACCTACGGTAGGCAATACAGGGTAATATGGTCTAGTCATCAGCATACATGGCATACAAAGTAGAGCGAATCTGATCCATATCCATATCAAAGACACGCACGCGATGACGTACCAGGCTGGGCCATTCAGGGAGGTCCGACCCAGGGCTGAAGTGAAGACAGAAGAGGTCGTCGAGGCGACGGTAGCAGCGGGTGGCAGTGTGACCAGAACGGCTACACACGGTGCCACGAAAGGGACTAGTCTGGAGCTGGTACTGGAAACTCACTGGACTGGAGCTGGCGCCAGATGTCGAGCCGCACGGGCCGCCACCGTGGCCGCCGCCACCAAAGCCGCCAGACCACCACGGCGACTGGGGTCCCTACGGCTGCTGCTGCTGCTCCTGCTGCTGCACCGGGGCATCTACCCTGGCCCCCTCGTCTATACCACCGGCATTTGCACCACCTCCACCATTGCCACGACCCCCGCCACCCACGCCACTCCCGCCAGTCCTCCCTCCGCCACGCCCCCCTCTGGGACGGTGACCCTTACGTTGTTAGGGAGGCGCGTGGCAAGGAAGCAGAGAATAGCGCCAAAGGGGGGAGGTAGTACAGTGAGCAAGGCCTCAGTGCTAGCAACGCGGTACTTAGAATCACATGCGCGCAGATGAGTGGCAAGGTCAGCGACTGTGGGGAAGGACACAAGATCAGGGAAGAGCAAGGGCAGGAGGAGGCAGCTAGCAAAGGCAGATGGGGGAGTAGAATAGCTTGAGCAGATTGAGCGGGCGACCACAGCAGCTGCGAACGCCTCACGCTTAGCAGGCGTAGGGGCATCAGGGAGGGCAGCAGGCAGGTCGGGGCAAGGGAGCTTACCGTCAACGTGGACGGCCAGGGACTGGCCGTCCTGGCACTGACCCTCCAACTGGTGGTGGAGGTCAGAGAGCCACGCCTCAAAGTCAACCGCCTGACCCTCCTCGTCTAGACGGAGGACAGCGTCCGCCATGACCACAGCCGTAGCGGCTGACGAGCGCTAGAGGAGGAGGAGTAGGGGGCGGGCAGGTACTATGGAGAGCGGTGAAGAGCGGGGAAGAGCGGTGGAGGGGGGTGGAGAGCGGTGGAGAGCGGTGGAGAGCAGTGGAGAGCGGTGGAGGAGAAGGCTGGCGGAATTGCCGACTCAAGAAGGAACCAGGGCCACCGGCTAGAAGGGGCCAATGATCCGGGGCCGGCGCGAGTTGGGGGTCGGCGGGAGCTGGGGCCGGCGAGAGCTGAGGTCGGCGCGAGCTGGGCCGTCGGGAGCTGGGGCCGGTGAGCAGGGTCCAGCGAATTGGGGACGGCGAGATGGGGCTGGCGGCTAGGGCCGGCGAGCTGGCGCGAGTGAGCTAGGGCCGGCGAGCTAGGGCTGACGAGCTAGGGCTGACGAGTGAGGGCCGGCGAGCAGGGTTCTGCAAGCGGGGGCTAGCGAGCGAGGGCTGGCGAGCAAAGGCTAGCGAGCAGGGGGCCGCGGGCGAGCTATGGGCCAGCGGCGAGCAAGGGGCAAGCGGTGCGCTAGGAGCTGCGCGGCTCGCAAGGGGCACGTAGTGCGCGAAAGGCCAGCGGGCGGGCTAGGGCGGCGCGACGGGACAAGGGCTAGGGCGGAAGCACGGGTGGGTAGATCTAACCCTATTGATACCATCCCAAAATAACGCATTGAGTAGAAACAAGGGATAAAAGGGAATATATGGTTAGGTGTTGTACTCTCTAAGAGCACGAACCCTTCTAGCCTATTAGTCCTATATATACAATATGTGTATGAGTTGACACTGCCATTACTCGCAGCTGTGCCTTTGCTCGTAGCTCCTCATTTTTCAAAGCGATGCCTTTATTCATAGCATCATAGCTGCACCATTCACCCATACTCGCTCCATTCACACATAGCTGCTCATTTGCTCGGAGCCGCGCCTCTGCTCGAAGCTGCGCCTTTGCTCGAAGCTGTGCCTTTGCTCGAAATGGCGTCTTTGCTCATAGCCGCGCTATCGCTCATAGCCGCGCCATCGCTTCTAGCCGCACTGTCGCCTAGAGCTGCGCCATTCACTCCAAGCCACACCAATCGCTCGTAGCCATGCCATCGCTCGTAGCCGCGCCAATCGCTTGTGACCGCGCCAATCGCTCGTGGCCGCGCCAATCGCTCGTAATTGCTCAAATTGCACGGAACCCCATTGTCCGTACTGTGCGCATCCATTGCTCGTAGCGTGCGCATCCAATGCTTGTAGCGCGCCTCCAATGCTCGTAGCGTGCGCCTCCAGTGCTCATAGCGTACGCCTCCAGTGCTCGTAGCGTGCGCCTCCAATGCTCCTAGCGTGCGCCTCCAATGCTCGTAGCGTTCGTCTCCAATGCTCGTAGCGTGCGACTCCAATGGTTTATTCACATTCATATGGGTGCCATCACATGGGTGCCATCACATGGTGCCATCACAATCACATGGTGCAGCCACACATTCACACTTGGTGCAGCCACACATTCACACTTGGTGCAGCCACACATTCACACTTGGTGCACCCACACATTCACACTTGGTGCAGCCACACATTCACACTTGGTGAAGCCACATATTCACATTTGGTGCAGCCACACATTCACACTTGGTGCAGCCACACTTTCACACTTGGTGCAGCCTCACATTCACACATGCTGCACATTCACACTTGCTGCAGCCACGCAGCCACATTTACTGCAGTCACCCATTCACGCTTGCTAGATTCACACAATCACACTTATTGCAGTCACAATCACAAATACGGCAGCTACAAACTCACACTTGCTGCAGTCACACAGTCCGGCATGCTGCAGCTCGACATGTGGTGCTGCAGCGCCATTGCCACCGCATTACATGCCCCTCCTCATCCCTTCACATGCGGTGTGTGCAGGTTGAGAAGCTTCCCACGTGGTCAACCACCACTTCGAGAGTGAGCGGCACCATCGCCGCCACCTGGATGGCTTGCCACTCGTCCTTTCCAGCCACTGCAGCAACCACGAGCTTTAGATGCCAGCTTGGCCTTGGAGGTCATGTGAAATGGGGCACTGTAGGATCTATGGTAGAGGTTCGATGTGGTAGTGGGAAACGGCATAGCCTCCCTCCAAAAGCTCTGATACCATGTTGGAAATCGGACTATGCCACGTAGCGGAAGCGTTGAACAAAGAATGGTTGATTACTCATAGAAAATACAGGCATTTGTACTACCGTAAAAGCTCGGATATAAAACCCCAATGGAATAGAAGGTATAATGTATTATATTAGGCGTCTATCTTGTATCAGGATTTACCATTTATAAGATCAGATTTTAGAGTGGTATGGGATAAGATACCCCCCTCCCCCTCCTTATTTCCCCTTATTTTCCATCCACAATGGTAGGAGGGGGCATTGCATGTACAAGGGGTTCAAGAAATATGTAAAACAACAAATCCACTCAGGTTTCTGTTGAACTAAATACGCTAGAAACGGTAGGCGGCCATGGAATGGCGTGAGGGTTTAGCTAGGAGAGGAAGTTGACGAGAGAAAAGAGAGTTAGAGAATAGAAGAGAGAGGGATACAAGGAGAGGGGTTGTACCCTCTACAGTAGGTTTCAATAACACCTACCAAGCCTACCAATTATATATCAAAGATATAATTTAACACACCCCCTAGGCTTGGTAGCCGAAAGCACACCACACGCACCCCCTAAATCTAGCACCCCTATACTCAGTAGCAGCGACGGCTACACCAGCCCGGTCAACCCTCTCGGCGCGGGAGGCGGCGACGTCGACAGCAAGGGCTGCGGCGGCGACGGCGGCAGCGGCGGCAGCGTCGATAGCGGCGGCGGCGTGGCCCCAACGCAAGCGGCGACAGTGGCGGCGGCGGCGGCGGGGCTCGCAACACTCGGCGGCATGGCTGGGCTCCGCGACGGTGGGATAGCCAGCGGGAGGCAGCCATCGGTTGCGGCGAGGAAGAGGGGACGCAGGGAAGGGGGGCGGGGATTATGCAACACGCACATGGCTAGCGTGCGGGTGTCAGGACCGGCGGCGCCTAAGACGTCACGCAGCTCGCTGCCGCCCGTCGACGCCGCCACTGCAGCATAACGCCGCCTCCACAGCGCGGTGTCGATGCCGCTGCGGTACGTCGACGCTGCGACGGCAGCACGACGCCGTCGCCGCGGTGTGGCGTCGACGCCACGCGTCCGGGCTGCGACGGCAGCACTACGACGCCGTCACTCCAGCGTGGCATGGCCACGACGGCGGCACGAAAGTAGCGGGACTGACGACTGAAGTACGAGTACGCGGCGGAAGCGTGGGGAGCAGGCCCGGGAAGGGCAACCTGCTATGATACCATATTGAACTAAATACGCTAGGAACGCTAGGCAGCCATGGAATGGCGTGAGGGTTTAGCTAGGAGAGGAAGTTGACGAGAGAAAAGAGAGTTCGAGAATAGAAGAGAGAGGGATACAAGGAGGGGGTTTGTAACCCTCTACAGTGGGTTTTAGTAACACCTACCAAGCCTACCAATTATATATCAAAGATATAATTGAACGGTTTCTTGTTACGAAGCTAGGTTAAATGGAAGGTAGGCGGCCATGAAATGGCGAGAGGTTTAGGAGCTAGGAAAGAAAGTTGAAGAGAGAAAAAAGGGTGAGACTAGAAAGAGAGAGGGATACAAGGAGGGGATTGTACCCTCTACAGTAGAGTTTATATAACAAAATATATAATTTAACATTTCCTTTGTAGAAATCACAACCCTACAAATTCTATAGGGGGGGCATTAGGTGCCGAGCCCTCTCGCTGGGAGGTACCAAACACTCCACATCCACAATTCCCCGCCTATAACGGCCCCATTACAGCAACTGAACCCGAGCACTACACCCTCGCTGCACTTTTGAATCACCACAACAGTTCCTTTTATAAGACAATTTTCCATTTATAAGAAACACCCCCCTTTCATTTTGTTCCGTTTATAAGCAACTTTCCATTTTTTCACCCCAGTATATGATCAGACATAGGGGTCTTATATCCAGGCTTTTATGGTACTCTCTAGACTCCTCCAAGAGCCCCTTTAGCCTCGCAAAGAGAAGCATAATGCACTCCAAAGTGCTTGACCCCCTATACCCATAATGCCAAAACAATAATGGAGGGGCAATAATGGAGTCAAGCTAACCTCAATAATTCTAGAACCACTTATGCATAGACTTGGCCCTTCGTACCCCATTCTAGCATTCTCACATCACTACAACCCATAACAGTACTTCATAAACCCATGCATTTGTATTTCCAACAATTGGGTTGTTGTATGCATATGGTATTTCTCACCGAATGTGAGGAGGCAGATCCTTCCATCAAGTTCAGTGACAATGGTACATTCACAGTACAGACCAGCCCACCCGCCAATGGTTATGGCTGCACAACAAGCAGTGGTTGCCGTGGCAGCTGCAGTGGTAGTGGTGGGCGTCTGGAAAGTGACTGCTGTTTCGGAGCAGGATCGGTTATGGGCGACAAGGGGGGCAAGCCACGTGCCTCCCTCGGTTGCTTCAAGTGCTGCTGGATATGCCATTCTGCTGCTGCTCCTGTTGCCGCAGTCTCATCTCCTGCTGCAGCTGCTGCACAGCTTCTGCTACGCGACAATCAGCAGGGATGCGGCCGCATGAGTCAGCTCTGCTAAGAGCCAGCGGTGCGCTCGTTCGCCTGCTGCGCCGCTTCCTCGCCACCTCGGTAGTTGGGAGTGGCAATGGAGGGACAGCAGCATACAGCGGAGCAATGTCAGTGGACTTTGCAGCCTCTAGCTGTTGTAGCTGCAGCTGCGTCTGCTCTTGGTGCGACTTGTGCTGCTGCTGCGGCTGCTGCTGTTCCTTCAGCTGCTCTTGCTGCTGCAGCTCAAAAGATTCTGCAGCCTCCTGATTGGCCCTCTGCTGCCACCCTCTCTGCCTCCTCCGCATCCCTTTCACCACCCACGGGTGCTGCAGCACACAGTGAATATCCAGCCGTTCACTCGGATCAACCACCAGCATCTGACGGATCAGATCCTTCGCGTCTTCCGAGACCGATGGCCACGGCGGCACCATCAAATCCTCAGCAACCAGCTCACGCTTCCCATCTGGAAATTCCGGCCACGTGGCAGAGAGGAGGGTGTGCAGGAGAACCCCCAGGGACCAAACGTCAGCCTGGTGGTCGTACGGTTTCATCTCCACCATTTCAGGTGCCTCGTACGGTTCGCTCCCAGCCAGGCCCACGATCGCCGAACCTGGAGGGACCTCACACTCCATGCCAAAATCCGCCAGCCGAACCTCAGGCTCGGCAGGCCCACCAAACAGGCTCGGATAACACGCCTCCGCGGATTCGTCCGCGTCGTGCTCGTTGGATCTTTCCGCAGCAGAGTAAGCGCGCGGAATCAGGAGCTTGGGCCGCGGGATGGGCCTGGAATGGCCCGCACGCGACGCGGCATCGAAGGACGGCACGCTCTGACTGGACGGGAACACGGCTGCGCGCGGCGGCGACGCGGAGTCCCACGGCGAGTCGGAGTGCAGCGACGGGACGGTGTTGCTGTTGGAATGAGGTGGACTGAGGGCGGGGCGAAGGGGTGAAGAGGAGGCAGAGGCGTGGAAGGGAGAGGAGGAGCAGGAGCGGGAGGAAGAGCGGCAGGAGTGCGAGGAGGCGGAGGAGGAGGAGGAAGGGGAGAGAAGCGGAAAGTCTTGTAACGAGGATGAACAAGAGGAGGAGGCGGGGATGGAGGTGGGATTGGAGGCAGAGGCGGTGAGAGAGGGCGTGGGTTGACTCAGGGGATCGTTGCTTCGCAGGCGACATTGGGCAGGAGGGGACGGGCAGAAAGACGGGCAGGACGGGCAGAAAGCTGAGGCGGGGATACTGATGGGGGAGCACGACGAGTACGAGGGGGACTGCCCGCACTTCCCGCCGCTCTTAGCGAAAATGCTCCGTCTGCTAGTGGCTCCCCTCGACGCCGGCGACGACGGCGGCGCGCCTCCCGTTATTAGCACATTCTCGGGCTTTATATCGCGGTGGACTATATCGTGCAAATGGCACCACTCCACGGCGCGCGCGATCTGCACGAAAATGCCCGCCGCGGTGCGCTCGTCAACGCCGCAGTCAAACCGGTCAACCAGGTCAAACAGGTCGCCGCCCGCACACAGCTCCGTTATCAGATACACACCCGGCTCAGCAGGCTCGCGCTTCGTGACAGAAGCACCGTCACACCCCGAACCAAGCGAGTCCGAACCTGGGGGATTTGTAACCGAACCAGTCGGGTCGGTTCGGCCCGAGCCAATTCCCTCCAGCGAGCCGTCTACATCGCAGATCGCGTGTAGCCGCAGCACGTTCGGGTGGCCCTGCAGCCGTAGGAGCACCGCGATCTCGCGATGCAGCGACAGCCGTTGCGCGGCGGTGAGATGAGCGGTCAGGATCTGCTTGCACGCGAGCGGCTCGGTGGCTCCGCCATGGCGGTCGAGGCAGCGCCAAACGCGGCCGAACTCGCCCTGCCCGAGCAGGTCCGTGAAGACGAAGCGTCGCGCGAGCTCGTGCGCCGATATGCGGGGAACGGTACCGGCGCTGTCCCCCGCCACTGCTGCTGGCACTTGCACCGCCGCGTATGCCGCGGAGGAAACCTCCGCGGAAGGGGAGATGGCGGAGACGGAGGAGGAGGAGGAAGAGGAGGGGGAGGCGGAATCTTCCGCGCAACTCATGAAGAACGGCTTCAAATTCGCGCCGTGCAGAAGGTTCGGGACGTCTGAGGCGACACGCAACTCCCCGCGTCTCAAAACGTCGCAGGCTGCGAAGACGGAATTTTCGAGGCGGTTTAGAAGGAATGGCGAGAACTTCTCGCCGTGAGAAGCGGAGCTAAGACTAGTAGAGCAACGTCAGCCGCGGCCGAAGGTGGCGATCGACGTATCCGTTTCCGGACGCGGATTTCGATCGCAGCGACGAGTCACGCTAGTACCACTAATAGACCAGCGCCTGCCGCGCTAAAGATCTGCCCTGATTCTATTCCTGTTCGGATGGTCGGATTTAGTCGGGGAATTAGACGGAAAGCAGAGACTACGACTACAGAGGGCTCCTGCGGTTTATGGAGTATGACGAGAGGGAAAGGTTGGGAAATTATCTATCGTACAGTGCACGTCGAGATGGTTCGATGGTGGCGCAGGCCGATGGCAAGGCTGGAAAGCGGAGGAAAGGAGACGACCATTTGAGTCGACTCAAAGAACGGGTAAGCACCACGCTTGGTGCAAGCCGAACGAGGGAAGCGCGCCAGCCAAGAACGGACAAGTGCCACGCTGGGCAGTGGCAGTACAGCAGTGCTAGCGAAACCCGTCGCTCATTGGGTCCCCGCGGTAGCGGGAGCTGAGCTAAGGCAGGAGACGAGTCGAGTCAGTGAGGTGAGGTGGAATGGAATGGAGCGAATGCAGCGAAGGCAGCGAGTGGATGCAACGAATGGCGGTCATCGGTCGCAGGATCTCTCACACCTCTTCAAGAGACTCTCGTCTCGCGCTCTAGAGGCTTCACATTGCCGCGAGAAGCGCGCCCTCCTCCAATGAAGAGCTCGCAAAGCCGCGTTCCAGTGGTTTACCGCGCCGTTGCTCCCTTCGGTAAGCCTACTGTACGCTTTTTCCTGGATGTCGAGAAGTCAACAGCCTCTTTTGGCCGGGCATTACACTCGGACGGTTTGGATGGGACTGAGGAGGAGGGTAGGTGAGTGAGGAAATCCACTTCGCAACGACAGCAGTTTGCTGCTATGTGGCTGATTGCGGGTTGGGGGAGGTTCTATCAGCAATTTGTTTCCCTGCAGTCAAGCAGACAATACGAGGCCGGTGCTTAGGCATTTGCTGAGAGAGGCTCCAAGGACAAATGCAACAGGCAGGAGGAGAAGGTTGACAGGAGCGGAGGGGAGGAGACGGGAGGAGAGGAGAGGAGGAGATTCCTGTCCGAATCCACAGGAAATGAAACGAAGGAAGAAGTGGTTCCGCGTGGTGTACCATGGTGCTGGCCTGCTTAATCTTCAATTCCTGCGCCGCGGCGCGGAATCAGAGGAAGAAATGCCGCGCACCTCATCGGAAACCCTACAGTTCCCGCACCGTGTCGTATCTTTTTCTTGACACTAGGACATTTTGTCAGCTATCGGACTCGATTTTCTACTCACCCCATGGAAATAGCTTCTAACGATGCATTTTCATTGACTTCCTTTGGAGACTCCCCTGGTGACGTGTAACGGTCAAAATTTCATTCGCTGAATCCAAGAGTTGCTGGAAGGCAGCGGCGGCAGTCCGAGGATCTTGACGTGTGGATCCGCAAATCGAGCAACTTAGCGAGCTCGGGATTGGAAATCGACGGCTAGAAGAAGTGCCGTTTCGAACCCAACGGTGGCCACGGGCCAACGGGTCAGTGGGGAGGGAGGGAGGCTCAGGGAGCTGCCCAGTGCCCAGTCAGTGCTGCCATCGCGTCACTGTTGCTGTCAGAAGCTTGACTCCGTGAAGGATCTTCCTAAAAATTGTTACAGGTCTAACGGGTACGTTTTCAATTCACTTTATGCGGTTGAGTGTGGTGCTCGGTGTTCCAACGTGGTGAAGAGCGGAAACCGTTCCTGACCACGATGTATCCTACTGAACCATGTTCCACGTACCGTAAACGTACGCGCTGTACACGCCTAAGTTGTTTAGGGCTTGTCACTAGACGGCGTTCTTGTAAAATACCCAACTCAACCGCTAACAGTTATATTTGACCGCTCTCGAACGCAAAATACCGTATCAAAACTCAACCTGATGTTCCTTTTTGACTCGGCCTGAATAGCAAGTTCACTTAGGGTGTGGGACATCGGTTTTAAAATGCAAAAGTCCGTACCCATCACGAATTTCGGCGGTACTGACCAGGCCCATTGAAAGTCCGTACCAAATTGGGAACCACTCACCAAAACAACCGAGGTTCCCACATTTGAAATTCACACACATTCGTTTAGTGCGAGCACGCACTAATGTGGCAACAATGTCCAGGCCTCGTCAACCTTCGTGAACCGTCGCCACTGCTCGCTACAACTCCCATGTCGCCCAACCAAAATGACACCCTGGTTGGAATGTTGGCGGGGGTTTGGCGAAACTCTCACCACCAACCCTGGTGACTGGGCATTTCGCGGCACATTTTCGTGCGCTGCAAGCCGTGCGATGCCTCCATAAATTTGAAAGTGGCGAAGTTGCCGTACGGACGGGGATATTCGTGATGCATGTTCCATCCTTGGTATGAATTGTCGCGAAGGTTTTTGGCGACGGGCGAATTGTGCCGACGACATTCACGAAATCTATAATCACACAAAAGTCCGTACCCAAACCATGATCACGAATTGGAGGTCCCATACCCTTAGGGAGGGTCCAAATAGTTCATTTCGGGGTTTGGGACACGATTTTAGGAACCCGGGTACAGATCCATAAAACGACTCCGAGTTCGTAAACACCAGAAATTGTGTTCCCGTTCGCACGTAGCACACAAGCGGGACGCCGATTGTCGAGATGTGAGAAAACCGAACGGCGCGCAACAGCCCAAAATGCAGTTACCAAATGTATACCTGCGCTAAACATCTGTTTCGCAGCGCGTAAAATACAACAGGCGGGGAAAATCAACATAGCCACACGTGAGAGAGACACTCAACTCGTGGCGGGTTTGGTCGCGGATGCGGTCTGGCGTCACGCACGCAGATGCATTCACGACGTCGCCTGGTTTTCGCCACAGCCAGCCGGGCGAAATCCAGGTGCGACACACTTGGAACCCCGTCCCCGAATCTTGCACCTCATGGCTTTTGTACGTTACCAACCCGAAATCTGGTACATGGCCCGACGCATGTGAAGGGTGTCCCACGTTACGCGTCAGTTTCTTTCGTGTCCTGGCAAAACCTTAAAGCCCGTAGCTATAATAGCAATCAAGAGGGCTGTTTAATTTGCTCTTGAACTTGGCACATGACTTGATCTTTAGAGTAAACGAAACAGAAAAAAACATTTCGTTTTGCAAAGCAAAATCCGACCGTGGCGGTTTGGCGACAGTTTTTGCACGAAACCATTCGGTGAACAGTGCAATACGCGTCGTGCGACCGAATTCGTGGTAAAGTGAACAAAGAAAATGCGAGAAGAACAGTGTTTTTTTACGAACAGTAGCTGGTTCTGGAATTGCAGACCTGGAAATCACTTGAATTCCCCAGTCAAAAAGCTCCTGTCTTTCCTCGTCGCAAGCTGCTCGCCCAAAACCGTCGTAGAAACTCCGTGCGATGCACACAGTGTTTTTACGCAATTCGCATCTAAATGATCGTGACGCAACAAACAGCAAAACGATTTCTTTCGTCATTCCTCCAATCAGCAAGCTCGACCAGAATTTGTTTCGACGCACTTTTCTTGTTCAGGCTTGAACTCAAGGCTGCCTTCCATTCTTAGACGGATTTCAAAACACCAAATTCAAGAGGTTTCCAGGTCTGCTATTTTTGCCGCGGGCTTTAAACAGGGTGTTGTTAAAATCGGGTGACTATCAGGCCTGACGTTTCAAAAAAAACCCCTCTGAGCTGTCGAATAAAAAAAAAAGTTTACCCTGAGGGCTCAGGTTTCAAAAATTGCCTACCCTGACTTGTAAGGGTTCAGAAATCTGGAACCCTGAAAATCCCAGGGTTCACCGAGCGCGTTCAGGGTTGCCTTCAACACGAGGGGGGAATAAAAAATGGGGGGAAAAGGGGGAGGGAATCAAACCGAGGGGAGGGGGAGAGCGAAACGGAGGGGAAGGGGGAGGATGGAAACATAGGGGAAGAGAAGAAGCGAAACGGGGAGGGAAAAAGTGGAGGTTGGGGGGTGGGGGAAGTTCGAAATACAGTCGAGGAATGGGAGAAGCAAAACGGAGGGGAAGGGGGGATCGAAACGGAGGGGAAGGGGGGATCGAAACGGAGGGGAAGGGGGGATCGAAACGGAGGGGAAGGGGGGATCGAAACGGAGGGGAAGGGGGGATCGAAACGGAGGGGAAGGGGGGGATCGAAACGGAGGGGAAGGGGGGATCGAAACGGAGGGGAAGGGGGGATCGAAACGGAGGGGAAGGGGGGATCGAAACGGAGGGGAAGGGGGGATCGAAACGGAGGGGAAGGGGGGATCGAAACCAAGGAAGAAAGGGGGAGGGAATCAAAACCAAGATGCGAGGGGCGAAACGGAGGGGAGATGGGGGAATCGAAATTGAGGGGAGGGGGGAAACGAAACGGAGGGAGAGTGGGGGGAGCGAAAATGGAGGGGAGGGAGGAATCGAAGTGGATTGGAGGGGGGAAGTTGGGTAATAGGGCGGTCGGAGAAAATTCGCGCCCTAGCAGCGCCCCGGCTGGGAGATCTTGGACGTTGATCAATGTGACCATCTAACGGTTTAAGTATGTCGAAACGATCGCAATCGATCTTGACCGTTACATTTTCATAGACTTAGCTAATTTTTGTGGGTTGTTGTTAGTGTGTAGGGGGGATGTCTGTACGACACATGACTTAGCTGATTTTTGTGGGTTGCTTGGTGTGTGAGGGAATGTTTGACTTCACCAATTTTTGTAGGTTGTTGCGTGTGGGGGGGGGAATGTCTCTGGAGATTGGGGACTTCGCCTAAATTTCCGCATTGTGAGCCACATGGATGTCGCACTCAGGGTTCGTACGCGTTACTCCCTGAAAACTCAGTGTTGGGATGACACAAACCCTGAAATTCTCAGTGTTCACAGACATACAACCCTGAAGAGGTTAGGGTTAAAAAAAGCCCAACCCTGAAAATTAAGGGTTGGCCAAAAAAATACCCTGTGAAATCAGGGAATCAGGGTAAAATACCCTGATATCGACAGGCCTGGTGACTATGTTCAAATTATATTTTTATATAATTGTAGGCTTGGTAGTTATGCTACTAACTGCATCCTACTGTAGGGGGGACAACCCCCTTATTGTACTTCATTCTCTTCTAGTCTATCCCTCTTCTCTCTCGACACTCTCGTCAACTTCCTAGCTAAACCCTTGGCCGCCATTTCATGGCGACCTCCTCTGTTCTCCCTAGTTCAGGCTTTAACATGGTATCGAGAGCGGGATGCCCTCCCTGGGCCTGCTCCCCTCCGTGCTTTCCGCTGCGTTCTCATGCGTTCGTCGCTCCTGCCGTGCCGCCGTGGCGGCCATGTCGCATGGCTGCCACGTCGAGCAGCCGTGCTGGGCTTGCCGCCCTGACGTGGCGGCTCCGCCGTTCCACCTCCCCGTCGCGCCCCTCCTGGGCCCTGCCGTGCCTCCTATCCACGTCGCGCCCCTCCTGGGCCCTGCCGTGCCTCCTAGCCCAGTCGCGCCCCTCCTGGGCCCCGTCCCGCCTGCTCCTCCCTCCAGTAAGCGCCGCGCCTATGGCGCCGCGCTGAAGTCCTGCAGCCCCACCACAGCAGCCCCACCACCTCTCCCTCCCCTGCATCTCCTCCTGCTCCTGCCGTAGCTGCTGTCTTCGGCTCGGTCGTCGCCAGCCCGTGCCACACCGCCGAGAGCCCTCAGCCGCCGCAGTCGCCGTCTGTCCTCATCGACACAGCCGCCTTGAGCACGAGCTCCGCCGCTGTCGTCATTGAGGCCGCCCAGATGCGGCCAGCTGCCTCTCGACCGGGGGTGTCATAGCCTAGCACGAGGGGTCGATACCCGGCTGCTCACGAGAATGAGGGTGTCCGGGGTTAGGGGGTGTGTGTGTGGGTTGTGTGGGTTTGCCACTACCAAGCCTAGGGGGTGTGTTCAAATTATATTTTTATATCATTGTAGGCTTGGTAGTTATGCTACTAACTGCATCCTACTGTAGGGGGGACAACCCCCTTCTTGTACTTCATTCTCTTCTAGTCTATCCCTCTTCTCTCTCGACACTCTCGTCAACTTCCTAGCTAAACCCTTGGCCGCCATTTCATGGCGGCCTCCTCTGTTCTCCCTAGTTCAGGCTTTAACAGACTATTCAAGAAATGAATAGGGTGTGAACTATTTCGACCCGCCCTTAGCAGTCGCCAGAACTCGCAACACGTGAGAGGAAAAGGAGTCTGAATGTTCAATGTGAAGTTGCTTGTCATCTCTTGGCGAGCCGATCCACCAACATTTTCACTTGGTCCGGTGCCAAATATCTAGCCTGTAACGGAAAACAAGGAGTGGGATGAGAACACATGTATATTGGAAATAACGCTGAGATTGACCTTATGTTGAGAAGTCACATGTAGCATGCCACGAACGTAATTTCGTTAGCTCTCACCTGAAGAAACATTCTGTCAGCCTCCGCCTGGTTGCCATTGTCCTTGAGAAACAAGCCCTGCAAATCACACAGAGCACACACCATGCGTCAACCTGACGAAGTGCAGAGTGCCTCTGAATTACAAATGGAACAAATACACGCTGCATATTTTTTAGGCGCCTAAAAAATAGACAAATACACGCTGCATACGCACAACAATGTAGCCTCCTAAGTTGCCAGGGCAGGAAACAACCAGCCCATCATACACCGAGGCGCATGGTGCGCATGGTGCCCCTCGTACACTGAGGCACCATACGCCAATTGCGGGCACCATGCGCACCCTCAGGAACTCAAGGGACACACCTTAGCCAGATAGCCTCGGAAGTCGTCAGGGCGGGCGGCAATGAGCCTGTCGTACACCGAGGCAGCGTCCCCCGGCTTGCCCCACGCCGCATACGCTTTCCCCAGCAGCAGCGCCACCTGCACCTCGTCCGCCACCCCCTCTGGCGCTTCCGCCTCTCCCTCCACCGCTGCTGCCACCCTCTGCCGCGCAGCTAGTAGCTCGTCCACCGCCTGGAATGAATGCGCATGAGTGGGAAAATGTGTGTCAAGGAGGGTTGGGGAGGGTACAGGGTGGGAGGGGAAAGGGGGGGGCAGTTGGGGAGAGAACATGTGAGGCGACTCCGCTCTCTCACTGCTGATGCATATGCCTTCCCCAGCAGCAGTGCAATCTGCACCTCTCCGCCACCCCCTCAGGCGCTCCCCCCCTGCCTCTCCCACCGTTGCTGCTGCTGCTGCAGCTGCAGCTTTTGTTTTTATGGGGGGGGAGGGGCTTTTAGGAGATCCCAGGGTGCTGCTGCTGCTGCAGCCGCTGTCACCCGCTGCCGCGCTGCCAGCCGCTCGTCCACAGCCTGGAATGAATGAACGGAGACAAGAGGTGACTTTTGAGTCGACTCAAAAGTCACCTTGTTACAATGCCACAGCCTGGAATGAATGAACGGAGATAAGAGGGAACGTGCGGCAGGGGGGGTTAGGGGAAGGAGGGGGGAGAAATGACTTTTGAGGCAGGAAGGGGTCTCTCACTGCTGCTGCAATCACCATGCCCCATGCCGCATACCGGCTACCCAGCAGCAGTGCCACCTGCAATTTTGAGTCGACTCAAAAGCTTACTTTTGAGGCAGGAAGGGGTCTCTCACCGCTGCTGCTGTCACCATGCCCCATGCTGCAAACCGGCTACCCAGCAGCAGTGCACCTGCACCTCGTCCGCTACCCCCCCCCTCTCAGACCCTGCCACAGTATCTGCCACCGCCTCTCCCACTGCTGCTGCTGTGACCCTCCGTCGAAAGGGGGCGGAGGGTGGAGTGAGGTGGCCAAGCCAACATGCCTCATCTCATCCCATCTCATGTCAACCAATCACTGTAGAGCGTCACACCCACGCGCTGTGGCTTGTACTTGGCCAACAGAGCGCCAGTCAGCCACTGCGCCCATCCCATCCCATCCCCTCCCCTCCCCTCCCTTCCACTCCCCTCCCCTCCCCTCCCCTCCCCTCCCATCCCCTCCCATTCCCTCCCATCCCATCCCATCCCCTCCCCTCCCATCCCATCCCCTCCCCTCCCCTCCCCTCCCCTCCCATCCCATCCCATCCCATCCCATCCCATCCCAAACCATCCCATCCCATCCCATCCCATCCCAACCCTGCATTCCTCCACACACCTGCATTCCTTCACCCACCTGCTGCGGCTTGTTATCGGCCAGAAGAGCACCAGTCAAGCCCTGCAGCACCTCCAGGGACTCCACGGGTGACACCTGAGAGGGGAGGTGGGGGTGGGGAGAGAGAGAGAGAAACTTGCAGGTGGCCAGGGCAGCTGTAGGTTGCCTGGCGTCCAGCTAACCTGCCTGGCGTCCAGCTGACCTGCCTGGCGTCGAGCTAACCTGCCTGGCGTCGAGCTAACCTGCCTGGCGTCCAGCTAACCTGCCTGGCGTCCAGCTAACCTTCCTGGCGTCCAGCTAACTTGCCTGGCGTCCATCTAACCTGCCTGCCTGGCGTCCAGGTAACCTGCCTGGCGTCCAGCTAACCTGCCTGGCGTCCAGCTAGCCTGCCTGGCGTCCAGCTAACTTGCCTGAAGCACGTCACCACCGCAGATGCGTCCACCCTCCACTCTCCCCAATTTCCATCCTTGTCTTCCCTCCAGGCAGGCGCCTCAGACAAGCTCGAGGTGCTCACCAGTCCACCAACCTGCTACCGCCTGCCCCCCCTCACCTTGAGGGCCCTCCTGTAAGCCGCAGCACTGGCGCTGTAGTCGCCCAGCTCAAACCGCACCTCCCCCAGCAGCCGCTGCACCTCGGGATCCTCAGGGGCTAGCTGAAAGGAGGGGGTCGAAAGTGGTAAGAGTGATTCGGGTCACAGCAGGGATCTGCTTTTAAGGCGCCTCAAACCGCTCCCCCAGCAGCCAGCCGCTGCACCTCGGGGTCCTCCGGGGCGAGCTGAAAAGAGGGAGTCGAAAAAGGGGGGGTCGAAAGGAGGGGGGTCGAAAGGAGGGGGTCGAAAGGGGTCAGACAGAGACTCGGATCACAGCAAGGCTTTGGCTTTACGGCGCCTCGAACCGCACCTCCCCCAGCAGCCGCTGCACCTCGGGGTCCTCCGGGGCGAGCTGAAGGAAAGAGGGTGGGTGAGAGAAAGAGGGTGGCAAGGAGGGTGGAAGGACGATAATGGGATCACGTTGCAATTTGGGCAAAGAGAGAACGATAATGGTATCACTGGGAGCGAGCTGAAAGGAAAACGGGAGGAGATGAGCGACTCTTAAGACGAGCCCCTCGTAAGAAGTTTCCCTCTCAAGACGAGCCCCTCCTAAGACAAGCTTCTCTATGCTCGAGCCTCTCTTAAGACAAGGCTCTTTGAAGACCATCCTCCCTTAGCCGAGTTACGTGCCTTACTGAGTTGTTCCAGTCGTTGGGCCGACTTGTCGTACTGCCCCAGGTCAGCATACAGCACAGCAGCGCCCTCCAGCGCCTCCCTGTTGTCCGGCGTGGCGGCCAGGCGACCCTCAAACTCCTGTACCTGGTCCTGAACAAGTGAGCGGGGTAGGAGGAGGGGACGGGCGATGGGGGGGGGAGGGGACGGGCGATGGGGGGAGGGGGGACGGGCGATGGGGGGAGGAGGGGACGGCCGATGGGGGAGGGGGGACGGGCGATGGGGGGAGGAGGGGGCGGGCGATGGGGGGAGGGGGGGACGGGCGATGGGGGGAGGGGGGACGGGCGATGGGGGGAGGGGGGGACGGGTGAGAGGGGACAAGGGAAGGGGTATGCACGAGTGTGAAGGGAAGGGGGTGTGGCGGCCTGGCACGCCTTGCACCTGGCCCTGAGGAGGTGAGACCGGGACGAGGGGAGGGGCGGATGAGGGGACGAGGGGGGGACGAAGGGGGGGGCGGATGAGGGGAGGAGGGGGAGGTAACAGGGAGCAAGCAAGGGGTGGGCAGAGGAAGAGACTTTGGGGAAAGGACTTGAGTGGATTCAGCGAGGAGGATTTGGGGGGGACGAGGAGGGCGCACATGGAAGGCCAGGGAAAGAGTGAATCTTTTAGGCAAAGAGAGAGTGAGGCAAGAAAGGAGAGCGCCTCTTTCTGCTTCCTCTGTGCATCGCTCATGCCCCCAGCGGCGGTGCCAATCGCGTGGCATCCACATTTTGAGGCGCTTTGGTTCAAAGCAAGAGGAGCACGGAATCCTTTCTGCTTCCTCTGTGCGTTGCTCATACCCTCCCCACACCCCGGCTCCGATGCCACTGGCGTTCACCGTTTGTGGCGCTTCAAATGCATACAAGGGGAAGAAAGGGAAGCAAGAAAAGCACAAACCTCTTTCTGCTTCCTCTGTGCATCGCTCATTCCCCCGGCGGCGATGCCACTCGCGTCTACCATCTGCTGCTGCCTGGAGAAAGAGGATTATGGGGAGGTAGAGCACGATTGCGAAAGTTTGAAAGAGGTTGAGAAAGAGAGCGGGAGATTGAAGGTTCAGGCGGGATCACGGAAACGATAAGGGCATGTGGTGGAAATGGGGGCATGTGGAAATGGGGGCATGAGGAAATGGGGGCATGTGGAAATGGGTGCATGTGGAAATGGGGGCATGTGGAAATGGGTGCATGTGGAAATGGGTGCATGTGGAAATGGGGGCATGTGGAAATGGGTGCATGTGGAAATGGGTGCATGTGGATGCAATGAAACGAGCGCAGATGGAGAGGGGCGCATGCATGCTGCGGATTGATGCACATACGAGGGGGGAGCAGGTGCAGGGAGGATGTCCCCAAAGGCAAAGATGGCAGCGAACACAGTCGCAGCGATGCCAATGCCGATCTGCGATCACAGGGAGATAGAAGGAGGAACGTTGAAACATGCGATGCGAGAGACATATCCCTACACCCCTAGACACTCTCATGCTCGGTGTCATGTGGGGGACATATCCCTACACCCCTAGTCATATCCCGCACATCTGTGGCACTCAGGCCCCCTATGCTCACCTGCCGCCGCTCAGCCTCACCTTAGCAGGGAGGTCCTTGGTGAGAGCAGTGGTGTCCACCAGGGGTTCCGTGGATGGGTTGTCTTGTAGTCAGTTAGTGCTAAACCTGTGCTCCTCTTTGCCCCTTAGCCTGCATTCCCTCGGCACTGCAACAGCGCATGCCTCACCTTAGCAGGGAGGTCCTTGGTGAGAGCAGCGGTGTCCACCAGGGGCTCCGTGGACGGGTTGTCATAGTCTATGGGCGCCACACTCCGTGTCGCCACTGTCCTCTTCTTCTCCTCTGCTTGCCTAACAACGGGAGGGCAGGGAGGGTAGGGAGCGCAGGCAGGGCAGGGAGAGCAGGGAGGGCAGGGAGGGCAGGGAGACGGCAGCGGGGCAGCGGGGCCGTGACGGGGCGTCCACAAGGGGTTCCGTGGACAGGCTGTCATAGTCGAGGGGCGCCACACTTTGCACCGCCACTGCCCGCTTCGTCTCCTCCGCTTGCCTGAGAACGGGAAGGAAGGGGGGAAGGTAGGCAGGGGGGAAGGTAGGCAGGGGGGAAGGTAGGCAGGGGGGAAGGTTGGCAGGGGGGAAGGTAGGCAGGGGGGAAGGTAGGCAGGGGGGAAGGCAGGCAGGGGGGAAGGTAGGCAGGGGCAAAGGGGAAATGAACAGAGAGAAAAGCAGCAGGCGGGGCACTGAATGGAGTGCAGCCATGCGTCGGGCAGCCTCTGGCCGAAATGCGTTGGGCAGCTTCTGCCCTAAATGCGTCGGCCGGCTTCTGCCCTAAATGCGTCGGGCAGATTCTGCCCTAAATGCGTGCCCCTCACAGGCCCCCCCTCTTTCTAAAGACCACCACTTAAAACCCAGCCCCTGCTTTGCCTCACCCATAACCCACCCATACCCCGCCCATACCCCACCCATACCCCACCCATACCCCACCCATACCCCATCCATAAACCACCCGTACCCCACCCATATCCCACCCATAAACCACCCGTACCCCACCCATACCCCACCCATACCCCACCCATACCCCACCCATACCCCACCCATACCCCACCCATACCCCACCCATACCCCACCCATACCCCACCCATAACCCACCCATAAATCACCCATACCCCACCCATACCCCACCCATACCCCACCCATACCCCACCCATACCCCACCCATAACCCACCCATACCCCACCCATACCCCACCCATAACCCACCCATACCCCACCCATAAACCACCCGTACCCCACCCATACCCCACCCATACCCCACCCATACCCACCCATACCCCACCCATACCCCACCCATACCCCACCCATAACCCACCCATACCCCACCCATACCCACCCATACCCCACCCATACCCCACCCACAACATTTCCCGATCCTAGTTGGCTCACTGCCTGACTTTTCTAAGCTGCTCCTCCAACAGGCGGTCCTCGTCTGTGGCAGCGTGGGAGGGGGGGTGGCGCAGCAATGCCTACCTACCCTGACCCACCCTCTGCCTGCCCCCTGTGCCTTCCTTCCCTTCCCCCGTCCTCCATCACTCTGGGGCCTGGACCTCGGCTCACCGCCTGACTTCTCGAAGGCGCTCCTCAAAGAGGCGGTCGTCGTCCGTGGCAGCGCGGGAGGGCAGTGCAGGGATGCCCGGCCCTGAGATGTCTGGCGCTGACTCTGGCGAGCAGGGCGAGGGGAGGGGGGTGGGGCGGAAGGGGGGATTGAGAACTTGAGGGGGCGTGAAGGTGCAATTAAAGACACTGAAATTCTTGGCATTGGCTCCCCTGGGGAGGGGGGGGGGGGGGGAGGGGGGGTGGGGAAGAGATGATGGGACTTGACGTGTTGTGAGGGTGGGGCGGACGGAGATGTCAGGTTGAATTCAATGGATGCACGGTGCACTGTGCATGGGATGGTATGGGACAGAGATATTGCAGCGGGAGTGGGTTCATCCCATGTGGGAGTGGGTTCATCCCATGTGGGAGTGGGTTAGCTACTGTACTGTGTCGCGGCAAGAGAGACTTTTACTAAAACAATTGACTGAGGGCCACCCCATCTGCTGAACTGTCTTGGGTTGGGCTGGTGCTTACCATTCACACCGACGCCTGGAATAGAAGCGTCTTGCTTTGGACCCCCACTGCCCTTGCTCTGGCTTGGCTTCTGAAGATGCATGGTGGCATGGCATGGCACGTGGGACGAAAAAGAAGAAGATGGTACGCGTGTGGGATGTCATGAGATGATTCGATATGTGGGATCTGGCACGGCCGTATGGCATGTGAGGAGGGGTGGGGGCATGAGGTCATGCAGCACATGGCTGCGTGAGGTGTGTGCCATGGCATAACCCTGTGCGCGATGGGATGCCATACAACGTCATGCAAGAGGATGTGCCATGGACAACTGCTGGCTGGTATGGAAGCGGAAGGGAATCACAAGGGACCCATGTCCATGGAGCCATGCAGCCATGGAGCCATGCAGCTATGGAGCCATGCAGCCATCGAGCCATGCAGCCATGGAGCCATGGAGCTATGCAGCCATGCAGCCGCGCAGCCATGCAGCCATGCAGCCATGCAGCCATGCAGCCATGCAGCCATGCAGCCACTTAGGCGGCACAGTAGACCCACTACGGTCACATGCGTGCGCGTTGTCATCAGCGCATCGTGATGCGCATATTGCAGCATTACGTATTCCGTGCTCGTCTCCGCCTAAATCGCGAGCCCTCTCTTCCTGAAGCACTCCAAGAATGCACGTTCATCAATGATCTCGCTCGTCGCGTCTCACCCGGCTCTTGCTGTCGTCCGCCTTGCCGAACCCCTTCGAACCGCCCGTGGCTGCCGTTACTAGCAGCGGGATTCCTCGCCCGGATCGACCTCCCACTCGCCCAGTCGTCGCGAACGGAATGCTGCGAGCAGGAACCCCGGCAACGGGAATCCCAGCGACGGAAACGCTGCGAGCGGGAATCCCGGCGACGGGAGCGCTGCAACCGCAAGCTGGCGTTCGTTCACCATGGCAAAAAGCTGACGACGACGACGCTGGTGACAGGACGCGAGTTCCCGCGTACATGGCTGAGGAGCTGCAGGAAACGGCTACGGACTGCATTGTAGAGCCTACGCGACAGAAGCCCGAGAGGAAGCTGGTTTAGCAAGTATGGCTTCTGCTGACTGCTGCTGGCGACGGCCTTTGCTGCTGACGGTCGTCGCTATAACTGACCTGAGTGCTGCGTGGGGATTCTGGAATGGGAGTGTCAGGCAGGAGGAGTCAGGAGGAAATATGAAGTGGAGAAGTGAAGTGGATGATGTTGTGGCGCGTGATAGGTTCGGGCGGGAAAGTGGCACGAGTTTGGATAAGGCGAATCTGCGACCTTCGCGAAAAGGGATTTCGTTGACGAGGAGATGCGACCATGTTTGGTGTCCAGGTCGCCGTGAGCGAAAATGTGGAAAGTGTGCCCCGCGAACAGATAAGACTCGCGAAACAGGTAACTGTTAACAACAAGCAAAAAAGAGAATCGTCGTCGGCACTGGTAACTTCGCAGAGCTTCCAATTTCGCCGAGAAGGGCTCAACTAATTAGGGTGTGTGGCAAGTACAATCAGAGGGACTCTGCTCCCATAATCCCATCGTTCACCTCTGTACCGCTCAGAAAATCTTTTGAAACTAACAAAGTCATACTGTAACTCTTTGCACCTGACCTCCGGTCCGGTCCCATCGTTTTCACTTCCACTTGCCACACGCCCTTAGGGCGTGTCCAGCGCGTACGCTTACAATTCAATATGGTTTGCAGAGGTCCAACGTGGTGAAGCGCGAAAACCGCTTCCGATCGCGATATATCCTACTGAACCGTGATCCGTGTACTGTAAACGTACGCGCTGGACACACCCTTACCAGCACCTAACATTTCCCTCGGCCTGGTCTTTAAAACCTAGACCTAGACCTAGACCCACTCAAACCTTACAACCGCCTAACATTTCCTGCTCAGTCAGCAATTTCTCGACGGACCTTCTCGCATTTACTCTTAGACCTAGACCGACAGTCGTAAGCGATTCCCTAGACCTTGTCAGCAGCAACCACCATAATAACGGGGCCTTGTCAGTTCACCCCTCGACACATTGCGGGGAAGTTTGCGCTACCTCTCTAAACGTGACCTGACAAGTCCGTCGAGCTCGTGTTGATCTTAGCTATCCTTCTCGTATACACATTAGTCGTGGTGTGCTTCCTACGATAGTCTTACTGTGCTTCCTACGATAGTCTTACTGTGCCTCCTACGATAGTCTTACTGTGCTTCCTACGATAGTCTTACTGTGCTTCCGACGATGACAACGGAGGTCGCGGGTCGCAACATCGTCGTTGCGGTCGACGAGTCCGACCAAAGCTTCTACGCCTTGCAATGGTACCCCCGCTTAGCGCTTTCTCGCTTTCCGCTTTTCCCGCTGTCCGGTTTTCCTCCCGCCTGCGGCTTCCTGCCGAGCGTCCACCCTCATGCTGGAAAGCCCGGACGCTTACCCTCCGCGTATTGTGTCGCAGGGCGTTGACCACATTATTCGCAGGGAGACTGATAAGGCGACACGCTTGACTCGACCCAGCATGACTTTTTAGACGACTCAAAAGTCAAAACCTACCCTCCCTCCCCAAATCTTTTCGCAGGGCGTTCGACCACATTATTCGCAAGGAGGTGGATAAGGCGATTCTCGTGACGGTGGAGACGCCCATTACCAGTAACGCAGAGGGTACGTATCGCGTACAGCCCACTTCGGAATCGGCATCACCCCGCGGAGCCTTGCTCCTCGCCTCATTCCGTAGGGCTTCTCTGCTGCTCTTTCTCCCTCTTTTCTTCCCCATGCCGTCTCTTCCCCCCACCCCCCCGCTCCCTCCCCTTTCCCCCCCTCTCTCCTCCCGCCACTTTGCCCGCCCACTTCTCCGTGCCCCCCCCTCTCCTCCCTTCTCCTCCTCTTGCCAGCGTTCGCGATTCCCGAGGAGGATGAGCTGCACGTGGAGGATGACAGGAAGCAGAGTCGACTCTTGAGTGGACGCAACAATCAAACCCCTCCTCCCCCCCCCCAACCCCCCCTCCCCCCATCTCTCCCCCCCCTTCCCCTTCCTCCCAGCTTTCGCGATTCCCGAGGAGGACGAGCTGCACGTGGAGGACGACAGGAAGCAGGAGTCGAAGAGCGTCGCTGACAGGGCTGAGGCCATCTGCAAAGACAACAAGGTGCGTGCTGTCAGTGCCTTTAGTGCATTCAGTGCAGAAGTCACCCCGTTACAATGCCACCTCGCTTACAATACCCGGCACACTTTTTTCAGGTGACGAGTGTGACGAAGATCTACCAGGGCGAGGCGCGGGGGGCGATCTGCCAGGCGTGTGAGGAGAACGAGGCGAGCATGCTGGTCATCGGCAGCCACGGCCACGGGCCCGTCAAGAGAAGCTTTCTTGGCTCCGTCAGCGACTATTGCTCCAAATACGCCCGGTGAGTCAGCGACTACTGCTCCAAATACGCCCGATAAATGGTCGACTTACTTCTTGTTCTTTAGATCCATCAATGTTTGCTGCTCAGTAACTTCACACAACGGATCTGAATCAGGGCGTTGATTCCAGCCCATGTTTGTTCTCCTCCCTGATAATGCATGGGTGACTCCCCTTCCCCCCACCATCCCCCTTCCTTTCATTTTCTTTACCCTTTCCCTCTCTTTCTGCCCCTCTCTCACGTATGCCTCCCCTCCCTCCTTGTGCCGGCCGTCTCTCACTCTGGCCTCTCCGCCTTCCCTTCCTCACCTCACTTACCCTCACCTCACTTTCCCTCACCTCCCCATCTTCCTCTCTATACCCCCCTGCGTCTCTTTCGTTCAGGTGTCCAGTGGTTGTGATCCGACCTAAAAGCTGATTCATGCACCACCAGTATTACCATAACTGCTTGGGAAGCGATTATAAGTCAGGGTAAATACCCTTCTCTTCTAGCTCAGCTTCCAATCGAAGTACAATGCAATGCACAGTAGGGTCCTTTCACAGGTTTCTCATTCCAGTATTGTATTCCAGATTGTTTCCTCAGCACAAAGCTATGCTCTTGATAATGAGCTCCAATGTTGGATATGAGGGAATAGAATGTGTGCCATTTGGTTACTTTCTACGAATGTGTAAGGAATTTCACTTCCTTACTGCGCTAAACTACAGCGCGTACACCCGAAGACCTCGAAGTCGCAGGTTCGGCCTAAACTTTCGGCCCAAACCTCCCCGTGTCGCGTTCCGAGACCCTCACCACCCATCCAAACCACATCACATCCTGAGGACCTCGACCTAGTTCGTCCGTGCCCTATTTTAGCCAGTTCTCTCGTCACTTGCTGATACATTATTTTCGGAGGTTGTATTCCCATCATGTAGTGACGGTTCCATTCCCACTCATAACACAATGCATGGCCGGTAACGAAGCTCGCTATATCCGCTACAGACATTTGACAACATCGGGCCATTGATTGGACATGCATTATCACGACGTGCATTCTCGAGCGTGCTCTGCTTTTGACTCGATTTGCCAGACGTGCAAGTCCCTATTCTAAGCATCACCGCTTCGCCTGATTCTCATCGGAAGACATGCGGGGGGGGCTTCGCAGCGACCTTTGAGGGCCGTTTTTTTCCAACGCTCATTTTTCCTCTCAGGGAGTCATGCTGCGTGTGGAGAACAGCGGATTACTCTACAGCGGAGCATCCGCGCGACAAACCAATTCCGGCGGAATGGCTATGGCGCATTCCGTCCGCCACTCGCGCAGATTTCTCTCCCCCCACACGCACTTAGCCTGTGGTTTTCATTCCGCCGTTGAGCTCTCCGCACCCGTGCTCTCCGCTAGTGGTTCTCTTGCCGCTTCTGCGCTCTCCGCTCGCTCCGATTCTGCGCTCCCCGCTCGTTCCGCTTCCGCGTTCTCCGCCGTTCCCCTGTCAGCGCAGGGAAAGGGTCCAGTCGAGCCCGCTCGACCGGCTGTAGCACGAGCAGCAGGCGCTGACGGCTTGTTTGACGGCGAGCGGTTTGTGCTGACGCTGGAAGTGACGGACGACAAGCAGGTAATCGGCAGCATAACCTGACAACCGTCCTCTCCCATTTCAGCCCACCCAATGCCATCCACTACCCTGACACTACCCTGACACTACCCTGACACTACCCTGACACTACCCTGACACTACCCTGACACTACCCTGACACTGCCCTGACACTACCCTGACACCGCCCTGACACTACCCTGACACTGCCCTGTCACTGCCCTGACACGACCCCTTCCATTTTCTTTCGAGTCGACTCAAAGTCATTTCAGCCCACCCAATGCCATGCACTACCCTGACACTACCTTCCATTTTCCCCTTCCCATGCTCCCCATGCCACATCCCCCATGCCACATCCCCCATGCCACATCCCCCATGCCACATCCCCCATGTCACATTCCCTATGCCACGTACCTCATGCCACATCCCCCATGCCTCATTCCCCATGCCACGTGGCAGGCCCAAGCCAAGGACGTCCTAGCTTCGGGCTGGTTCCGAGCCACGGTGGCTCCGGACCTACCTGCTCCGGCGGGCATCAGAGAACTCCTGGAGATACCCCTCTCGCTGCTGCCCCGCTCCTCCTCCTCCTCTTCCTCCTCCTCTCCTCCCATCACCCACTCTCTCAGTCCTCCTCTCTCGTCCCTCACTCTCTCAAGCAATTCTCCTGATGAAATAGCTAACAGTCAAGCTACTCCCTTGACTGCCTGTGCTGGTAACCCGTCCAGTGAAGGCAGCAAATTGGCCGGCCAAGCCATTGCAAAGGATCCAGATAGCTCTGTTGCGGCGCAGGTGGTTGCTCAGGTGCTGACGGTGGCGGCTCAGGTGAAAAGAACAGAGGCGGTGAGGCAGCAGATGGTGGAGAGGGCGGCTCAGGTGGCAGGGGGCCGGGAGGGCAGCACTCCAGGCGCTCTGCTGCTGCTGTCAGGAGGTATGTGTAACCGCGGTCTCAGGAGGTATGTGTAACCACGGTCTCAGGCGGTATGTGTAACCACAGTCTCAGGAGGAGGTATTTGTCTCTGCTGCTGCTGCTGCTGCCGCTGTCAGGACGTATGTGTGGTCATGCTGCACACCATACCCCCGCTGCATCCCGCCCCACAAGATACCCTCCCATTTCTTCAAGTCTCCCCATGCTGCCTGTCCCTTGCTCTCCAGCCCAACCCACACGCTCATGGCCCGTGTGTTATGAGTCGATTTTTGAGTCGACTAAAAAATCCAGCCCAACCCATGCGCTCATGGCCTATGCTCAACCGCCTCTTGCCTACCATTTCCCTCCGCCCCGCATGCTCCCTCTGCTCCCTCTGCTCCCTTTGCTTCCCCTCTCATGACTCCCCATGTGCGTTGCTCTCCACCAGCCCACCCCACGCGCTCCTGGCCTCTGCTCAACCGCCTCTTGCCTACCAACTCCCTCCGCATGCTGCAAGACGCTCATCGACTGCGGGCAGCAGGCCAAATACCACGCTGTGAGTGCGACGCTGCAGTAGCACGACCAGAAGAAAGTTCTGGCTAGAAGCAGGCCAGCTGTTTTCGGTGCAATGTTAAAGAACAGGGTAGAAGACTCACCAACCATGCCTCTTCTTCCTGCCCTTCCTTTTTCAAACTTTTTCTTTCCTCTGTGTTTCGTCCCTCCGTGTTTTGAGCACATCAACTGGTTTTGAGGCGCCTCAAAAGTAAACTTCTTTCTTTCCTCTGTGTTTTGTTCCTCCGTGTTTCCCTCCCAAGGTGTTCAGTTCTGGGCTGTGGAGAACCCAGTGACTGCTTCGGTTGACCGCCTGGAGCAAAAGGTGCGAACTCCACTTCAGCAGGGGCAGCAGGGGTAGCGGGGGCAGCAGGTGCAGCAGGTGCAGCAGGTGCAGCAGGTGCAGCAGGTGCAGCAGGTGCAGCAGGGGCAGCAGGTGCAGCAGGTGCAGCAGGGGCAGCAGGGGCAGCAGGGGCAGCAGGGGCAGCAGGTGCAGCAGGTGCAGCAGGTGCAGCAGGTGCAGCAGGGGCAGCAGGTGCAGCAGGTGCAGCAGGTGCAGCAGGTGCAGCAGGTGCAGCAGGTGCAGCAGGTGCAGCAGGGTCAGCAGGGGCAGCAGGTGCAGCAGGAGCAGCAGGTGGTGAGGCGGGTAACTATGTAACAAGGAAGCCAGTCACTGCCTCCTAATGCTTGTCAAGGCTGAGAGCAGAGCATGTGATGTGAATCCGACCCATCCATCACCCCATCCATCACCCCATCCATCACCCCATCCATCAACCCACCCATCACCCCATCCATCACCCCATCCATCACCCCATCCATCACCCCATCCATCAACCCACCCATCACCCCATCCATCACCCCATCCATCACCCCATCCATCACCCCTTCCATCACCCCATCCATCACCCCACCCACCACCCCATCCATCACCCCATCCATCACCCCACCCATCACCCTATCCATCACCCCATCCATCACCCCACCCATTACCCCATCCATCACCCTATCCATCACCCCATCCATCACCCCACCCATCACCCCATCCATCACCCCATCCATCACCCCACCCATCACCCCATCCATCACCCCACCCATCACCCCATCCATCACCCCATCCATCACCCCATCCATCACCCCATCCATCACCCCATCCATCACCCCACCCATCACCCCATCCATCACCCCACCCATCACCCCATCCATCACCCCATCCATCACCCCACCCATCACCCCACCCATCACCCCATCCATCACCCCATCCATCACCCCATCCATCACCCCACCCATCACCCCATCCATCACCCCATCCATCACCCCACCCATCACCCCATCCATCACCCCATCTATCACCCCACCCATCACCCTATCCATCACCCCACCATCTCCATTCCCCACCCCACCCATCACCCCATCCATCACCCCATCTATCACCCCACCCATCACCCCATCCATCACCCCACCATCTCCATTCCCCACCCCACAAACCCGAACCCACGAGCTGAAGGGGGGAGTTGAGCCATGATAGTGCAGGCATTTGAAGTGCCACTTGAGTTGCCACGAGAAGTGCCACTTGAAGTGCCTCTTGAAGTGCCACCTGAAGTGCCACCTGAAGTGCACTTCAGGTGCCTGAACGCCTTCCCACTTGCCCGCTGGTTTCCCCTCCCCTCCCACCCACGTGCCCCACTCACACACCAGCTGGAGGTGGGAGCAGAGGCTATCATAGTGCAGCCACCCGTTTCCCGTCCCTCTACCCTCCGCCCCCACACCCCACCATTTCAACCCCCGCCTGCCACACACACACTCCAGGTGGAGGCGGGAGCAGAGGCCTTCATAGTGGCAGCGCCACATGCGTAGGTGACTTGTGAGTCGACTCAAAAGCCACATGCGTTCCCATCTGCCACTCAGCGCACCTCCCCTCCCCTCCCCTCCCCTCCCCTCCGCTCCCCTCCCCTCCCCTCCCCTCCCCTCCCCTCCGCTCCCCTCCCCTCCGCTCCGCTCCCCTCCGCTCCCCTCCCCTCCTCTCCCCTCCCCTCCGCTCCGCTCCCCTCCGCTCCCCTCCGCTCCCCCCCCCTCCCCTCACAACAGGTGGCGGCGGGAGCAGAGGCCATCATAGTGCAGCCGCCCGTGGTGCCACATGCGTTTCACCGGTGGTGGTGCGACGCCGAACGGAGAGGGTGAGACCCACTGGGGTTGGAACTTGCAAGGAGGGGGGCTGGATGAATGAAGGGGGTTGTGGAGAGTGGGAGGGGAGGAGAGAAGAGAGAGAGGACGGCTTGAGAGAGAGGCCATCATAGCTGATATGGTTTTTGAGAATTCTCAAAGCACCAATTCGGGCCATCATAGTGCAGCCGCCCGTGGCGCCACATGCATTTCACCAGTGGCGGTGCGAGGCTGAGCGGAGAGGGTGAGACTAAACAGAGCGGGTGGGACTCAGGTGGGGGAAGAGGAGAACGAGGATGGGGGTTGGGGGGTGGGGACGGGGGAGGGGGCAGAGGAGAGGGGCTGAGAGGTTGGAGTGAGTGAGCTGGAGTAACCTCTTGTGGTGCCACACGCATAGCGTCTCAAGCAGGGTTCAAGCCCAGGCTTAGGTTCCAAGGTTCAGCCCTCTCATCAGCAATTCCCTTCTCTCCCTATCAGCCTCACCACTGCAGTACCCGTGATGAGTCTATTTTTGAGGCGCCTCAGAAATGGACTCCTCACTGCAGTACCCGTGATCCTCAGCCTGCCTCATGGCCCCAACCCCTGTTTCTCTGCCTCCCCGCCAGCCTCACCACGGTAGTACCCGCGATAATGGGCTGAGAAACAGGGAACACAGATACTACCAGGTACTACCAGGTACTACCAGGTACTGCCAGGTACTACCAGGTACTACCAGGTACTGCCAGGTACTGCCAGGTACTACCAGGTACTACCAGGTACTGCCAGATACTACCAGGTACTACCAGATACTACCAGGTACTACCAGGTACTACCAGGTACTGCCAGGTACTACCAGGTACTACCAGGTACTACCAGGTACTGCCAGGTACTACCAGGTACTACCAGGTACTGCCAGGTACTGCCAGGTACTGCCAGGTACTGCCAGGTACTACCAGGTACTACCAGGTACTGCCAGGTACTGCCAGGTACTACCAGGTACTACCAGGTACTACCAGGTACTACCAGGTACTGCCAGGTACTGCCAGGTACTACCAGGTACTACCAGGTACTGCCAGATACTACCAGGTACTACCAGATACTACCAGGTACTACCAGGTACTACCAGGTACTGCCAGGTACTACCAGGTACTGCCAGGTACTACCAGGTACTACCAGGTACTGCCAGGTACTGCCAGGTACTACCAGGTACTACCAGGTACTGCCAGGTACTGCCAGGTACTACCAGGTACTACCAGGTACTGCCAGGTACTGCCAGGTACTACCAGGTACTACCAGGTACTGCCAGGTACTGCCAGGTACTACCAGGTACTACCAGGTACTACCAGGTACTACCAGGTACTGCCAGGTACTGCCAGGTACTACCAGGTACTACCAGGTACTGCCAGATACTACCAGGTACTACCAGATACTACCAGGTACTACCAGGTACTACCAGGTACTGCCAGGTACTGCCAGGTACTACCAGGTACTACCAGGTACTGCCAGGTACTACCAGGTACTACCAGGTACTGCCAGGTACTGCCAGGTACTACCAGGTACTACCAGGTACTGCCAGGTACTGCCAGGTACTACCAGGTACTACCAGGTACTACCAGGTACTACCAGGTACTGCCAGGTACTGCCAGGTACTGCCAGGTACTGCCAGGAACTGCCAGGTACTGCCAGGTACTGCCAGGTACTACCAGGTACTACCAGGTACTACCAGGTACTACCAGGTACTGCCAGGTACTGCCAGGTACTGCCAGGTACTGCCAGGTACTGCCAGGTACTGCCAGGTACTGCCAGGTACTGCCAGGTACTGCCAGGTACTGCCAGGTACTGCCAGGTACTGCCAGGTACTGCCAGGTACTGCCAGGTACTGCCAGGTACTGCCAGGTACTGCCAGGTACTGCCAGGTACTGCCAGGTACTGCCAGGTACTGCCAGGTACTGCCAGGTACTGCCAGGTACTGCCAGGTACTGCCAGGTACTGCCAGGTACTGCCAGGTACTGCCAGGTACTACCAGGTACTGCCAGGTACTGCCAGGTACTACCAGGTACTGCCAGGTACTACCAGGTACTACCAGGTACTACTGGTAGGCACCTCTTGTGGTGCGTCGCATCACTTCAGCCCACAACCTCGACTTCTGAATGCGGCTCACAATTGGCTCCAATTATCTTCGTTCCCTCTGCCCTCTCCCCCCCCCACCAGCCTCACCAACACAGTACCCATGATCGTTGGAGTTCCTCTCAACACCTCAGCCCGCAACCTCGCCTTCTGGATGCTGCTCACAGACTCCAAGGGGAGGGAGGGGAGGAAGGTTTGTATGATGCCTCAAGCCTCCGTTTCTCTACCTCTCCCCCAGCCTCACCACTGCAGTACCCATACTTGTTGGAGTGCCCCTCACATCATCCCGGAACCTCGACTTGGGTATGCTGTTCACAATTGCCACCAATGCTCTTTGTTTCCTCTTTCCAACCATCCCTCACCGCAGCGCAGCCTCCCCACCGCAGTACCCATGATTGTGGGAGTTTAGTTTTGAGGCACCTCAAAACCACCGCAGTACCCATGATTGTGGGAGTTTAGTTTTGAGGCACCTCAAAACCACCGCAGTACCCATGATTGTGGGAGTTTAGTTTTGAGGCACCTCAAAACCACCACAGTACCCATGATTGTGGGAGTTTAGTTTTGAGGCACCTCAAAACCACCGCAGTACCCATGATTGTGGGAGTTTAGTTTTGAGGCACCTCAAAACCACCGCAGTACCCATGATTGTGGGAGTTTAGTTTTGAGGCACCTCAAAACCACCGCAGTACCCATGATTGTGGGAGTTTAGTTTTGAGGCGCCTCAAAACCACCGCAGTACCCATGATTGTGGGAGTTGAGTTTTGAGGCGCCTCAAAACCACCGCAGTACCCATGATTGTGGGAGCTGAGTTTTGAGGCACCTCAAAACCACCGCAGTACCCATGATTGTGGGAGTTGAGTTTTGAGGCACCTCAAAACCACCGCAGTACCCATGATTGTGGGAGTTTAGTTTTGAGGCGCCTCAAAACCACCGCAGTACCCATGATTGTGGGAGTTCCCCTCATGACATCGGCCCGCAACCTGGCCTTCTGGATGCTGCTCACAGACGCCAGGGGGAGGGGGGGAGGGGGGGGGGGGGGCTGACGCTTTTGTGATGACCCATACTGCTGTTTCTCCTACCTTCCCAGACTAACCACCGCAGTACCCATCATCGTGGGAGTTCCTCTCATCACCTCGGCGCGCAACCTGGCTTTCTGGATGCTGCTCACAGACGCCAAGGGGAGGGAGGCCGAAGCTGAGATCGCTAGGTTCCGCCAGGCAGAAGAGCAGTGTGCAAGGGACGGAGTAGTGGATGTGGCTCAGTTCCAGGCGTTCCGCCAGCAATGGACGGAGGAATACCTCACATATGTGAAGCAACTGGCAGGTGAGGTTCTGTTCTGATGGCCGTCTGGACTCTGGATGCTGCTCACAGGCGCCAAGGGGAGGGAGGCGGACGCCGAGATTGCTAGGTTCCGCCAGGCAGAGGAGCACTGCACGAGGGACGGACTAGTGGACGTGGCTCAGTTCCAGGCCTTTTGCCAGCAGTGGACGGAGGAATACCTCACATTTTTAAAGCAACTGGCAGGTAAGGCGCTGACCCTTGAAGTGGAGTGGTGGATGTGGGTGTGACCCATTGTGCTGCTGATTAGCCAGCAGTGGTCGGAGCAGTACCTCACATATGTGAAACACCTGGAAGGTAAGGTTCTGAACTTTAGGAAACCGGTGCTGTGGGGAATGAGTGGGGAATGAGGAGTGGGGAATGGTTTGGGGAGCGGAGCTGGGTGGAATGGTGGATGTGGGTCAATTTCACTTTCACATCGCCCTTAGCCAACAGGGAACAGAACAGTAGCTCAGCTACTCTAAGCAGCTCCAAGGAAAGGCTTCTCTGTTGCGGGGCACCTAGAAATGCCTCCTTCCCCCACTAGTGCGCAAGGAATAGAATGAGGGGCGGTTGACTGACTCTTCCCACCTGCTTCTTTTGCGCCCTCCCTGTCTTTGATCGCTTGCAGGGGTGTCAGGATACATTTCTTGCCAATCAACCCCCGAGGCTGGAGACACCTGTGCAGAGTAACCTGCAATTCACCCGATTGCCACTTCACCTGTGTTCTCCCACCTCACCTGCCTTTGTGACCCTCCTGCACCCAACTGTTTGCAGGGGCGTCAGGGATACATTTCATGCCAATCAACCCCCGAGGCTGGAGAGACCTGCGAAGATTAATCTCCACGTCACCTGTGTTCACCAGTATGTGACGTTCTTAACAGACCTGTGTTAGCACTTGGCTCAGCCTGTACCCAGCTGTCTTATGCTTCAGCTGATGCTTTTCTGCACACAGGTGCCCTGTCACCTTGAATGTTTGGATATGCTATTGGCTTCTCTGGTGGGTGCTTGTTGCATCATTACCTCGCCCTTAGCTTTTGCATCGACTCATAAGCAAGGGGCCCCCATACCACCCCAAAGAAGGCCAGTTTATCAAAGTGAGAACTGAATGATTGAGTAGAGAGAGAGTACAGGTGAATATACCTAAGTGTTGTACCCTCTAAGAAGTGGCCCTATACAGTCTATGCAAACATAGGAGATACACATGTTTGACACACCCCCTAGACTGCATAGGGGCAGGTCCTGAACAAGCAGCACTACTAGTCCAGCCTCTGAGACAAGGCACTACTAGTCCAGCCTCTGCACAGGGCGGCACTACTAGTCCAGCCTCTGAGACAAGGGTCTAAAAGACCAATCAGAAGGAGTACATACAAGGCAAGAACAAGACCAGGGCGGCACTACTAGTCCAGCCACTGGGAGAGGACACAAGTCCAGTCTGAGTACACATATAAAGAACAGTACAAAGTCAAGGCCCTAGCAAGTGAGAGGCTACAGGAACTAGACCAAGCTGTACACAGTGCCGCTGATGATCTTTAGGCGCAAGCGCCTTCGTAAAGATATCAGCTGTGTTGGCACCCGAGGCCAAGTGTACTATGCGAGCCTGGTGTCGCTGCTGTAGCTCACGCAGGAGGAAGTACCGCAGCTTAATATGCTTCGCTCTGCCCTCGAGTCGAGGCTCCTGACACAGGAGGGTCATGGCCCTGTTGTCAGCGAACAGGACCAGGGCAGAGCTAGGCCGCTCACCTAAGTCAGTGAGCAAGAAGGTCAGCCAGCGGAGCTCCTGTGCCGCCATGGCACCAGCGTAGATCTTGGCCTCACAGCTAGACTGGGCAACAGACGAGGAGCGGGTAGCTCTCCACGAGACAGCACCTGAGCCAAGGCTGAAGCAGTAGCCCTGGGTAGACCTGAGTGTCTCGGCGTCGTCTGCCCAAGAAGCGTCTGTGTGTCCAGTAAGGACCACTGGCCCACGTCCTCCTAGCACTAACCCCATGCCTGATGTACTAGCAAGATAACGCAAAACCCTCTTAGCGGCAGACCAGTGCTGCGGTCGGTGTCTGCCTGTGGCCACAAAGCGAGCCAGGATGCTGAGAGGGTATGCGAGATCTAGGCGAGTGCAAGTCATCAGGTACATGAGGCAACCCACCAGCTCTGCGTAGGGGCCGCTGGGCTCTACCGACTCCTCAGAAACTGGAGCAGAGAGTCTGTGGTCTACAGGCAGAGGGGTGGGCTGTGCAGACGAGAACTGAAGGCCGAACCTCTGAAGGACCTGGCGCACCAAGTGTGACTGAGTCAGGGTGATGGTGCGCGCTGCTCTGTCCCTGGAGATCTGCAAGCCAAGGTAACGGCGCAGTTCTCCAAGGTCAGTGCACGTGTGTCTCTTCAGCAGCTCTGCCTTCACTGAGGCCAGTGCGTCCCTGTCTGCTGTGGCAAAGACCAGGTTGTCGACGTAAACAAGGATGTAGAACGGGGTCTGGCCAGCACGAACGAAGAGTGAGGGGTCTGCGGAAGACGGAAAGAACTGCAGATCAGCAAGGGTAGCACGCAGCGTGTCGTGCCACTCACGGGGAGCCTGGCACAGGCCGTAGATAGGGCGCCGCAGGAGCCACTGGGTCCCAGGAGGGAAGGTGCCAGTAAAACCCTGAGGGCGACGCAACTAGACCTGCTCATGTAGGCTGCCCTGAAGGAAGGCAGTGGAGAAGTCGAGGGAGTGAAGCTCGTAGTCACGCTGAGCAGCTAGGTGTAACAGAACCCGAAGAGTAGTCATCTTCAGGGTCGGAGCGAAGGTCTGGAAGAAGTCCACCCCCTCACGCTGATTGAAGCCTCTAGCCACGTAACGCGCCTTGAACACAGGCGGCTCTCCAGGAGGGCGCTTCACCTTGAAGAGCCAGCGGCCATCGACTACGTTCACCCCAGGTGGGGGAACTGCGTCGACGAAGGTGCCGGTGGATCTCCAAGATGCCATCTCCTGCTCCATGGCAGCTATCCACTGCGAGGCCCAAGGTCCCGAGGTCGCCTCAGCGTAAGTGCGAGGGGTCGGGATGTCGAAAGCGTCTGGGTCACCCTCCGGGACTAGCAGCATGGAACAGAGATGGGGAGCAGCCTCGAACAGGAAAGCAAGCTCGAACTGGCGGTCCTCCAGGACGTCAATGCCGAGGGCAGGAGCACCCCCGCCAGACAGAGGACAGGCAGGGTCAGAGACCAGAGCGGTGGCGTAGTCAAGGCGGCGGGTAGAGGTGAAGTCAGCGACCGCAGCTACAAGAGGGTCGAGACACGAGACCGGAATAGACTGGTCGGTAACGAGAGAGGCAAGGAGCCGAGGAACAAGAGGACGAGCGGCACGAAGGTAGTCAGACAGAGGGAGGGGCGCAACAACAAGGGAGGACGGAGGAGGCGACGGGAGAAGGGGAGGACGAGACGCGTGGGAACGAAGCAACATAGGGTGGGAGCGCAAGACAGGGGAGACAGGACGAGCACGGGAGGGACGGCGAGACCAGACGTGAGACGGAGGAGTCGGGTCAGGAGATAGAGGAGGAGACACAGGGGGGGAACGAGGGGGAAGACGAGCCGGGGACGAGTCCGGCGAAGGGAACACAGGGACGTAGACGGGAAGCGGAGGAGACGGCCGGAGGGGAACATACGCAGGGTCAGGGGACGGAAGGTCAAGCAGGCGGAGGGCTGACACCGGCGGGGACTGCTGCGGCGGCGGCACAACTCCGACACCGGGACCGCAAGCTGCTCCTCGGCTACCACCGGCACACTCCACGCCAGCACCCCCAGAGTCAACGAACGGGTGCTGTGACGGCGGCGGCGGCGGCAACGACAACGACGGCTGCGGCGGCGGCGGCGGAGGCGCTAGAGAAGGGGACGCCTGGGGAGGGGCAGCCGGCAAGGACTGCACCGCAGGACCACCAGAGTCAGAAGACTCCTCAACCGGGACCACCGACGGAGGAGGCGTGACGTGGGACACACCAGAGGGGGCAGGATGGGGAGGGGGGGGGGAGGGGCAGGGACTACCGGGGAGGGAGTGACCAGGAATAGGGGGGGATTAACCGGGGTACCGCGGTGGGGGAAGCGACGGTAGTAGGAGACGGACTCGTCAAAGGTGACGTCGCGAGAGTGAAAGAAGCGGTGAGACGGCGGATGGTTGAAATGCCAGCCAGACGCGTCAAGGGGAAAACCGAAGAAGACGCAGGAAAGGGTGCGGGCAGTGAGCTGGTCCGTGCCGGAGGGTTGCGGCACAGTACCGCTCGCCTGGGGGATGGAGCGGTGGCAGGTCTCAATAACAGTCAGGGTGTCTACAAAGTCGGTGAGGGTGAGCTCACCGGGGTGAAGGCGGCAAGGCGGTCAGGGAGGCGGGTGGCAAACAGGTAGAGGGTAGAGGTAATGGGCGACTGGTGGGCTCTAAGCTGTGCGTCAGTGCAGGCAACGCGCCAGGTCTCATCTATCGAGTGCAGGTGGGCAGCTAGGTCAGAGACAGTGGGGAAAGACGTAAGGTCGGGAAAGAGCATCGGGAGGATCAGGCGACCCACCGAGGCAGCAGGAGGGGTGGAATAGCGCTTGATGACACCATCTAAGTAAGCCTGGGTGGTCGCGATGGACATTGCTAATGGCAAGCTGAGCAACAGCGTCTCGGGAAAGCCAGACAGAGCGCGCAAGGGCAGCGGCTGTAGTGGACTCGCGCTCAGCGGGTGTGGGGTCAGCGGGCAGCACAGCAGGGGGGTCTGGGCAGGGGAGCGTACCGTCAAGGTGTGCGGAAAGCGGGTGGCCATCCTGCCGATGACCAGTCAGGTGGCGACGGAGGTCGGCGAGCCACGCCTCGAACTCCAGTGGCTGGCCTTCAGCGTCGAAGCGAAGCTCCGCCGCCATCAGGAGCAGTGCACGACTGTAGAGTGCGGTGCAATGCAGTGCAGGGCGGTGCAGTGCGGGGCAGTGTGGTGCAGTGCGGTGCAGGGCGGTGCAGGGCGGTGCAGGGCGGTGCAGTGCGGTGCAGAGCGGTGCAGCGCGGTGCAGTGCGGTGCAGGGCGGTACCGTGCAGTGCAGTGCTGTGCAGGTGATGAGGAACTGTACCAGAGAGGATGCAGGGCGGGGGCAGGGACGACGAGCGGGCCGCACACAGCTCGGGGCAGGACAGGCACGGGGGCCAGTAGCAGTGGGCACCAGGCCGACGGGACGGGCGCGGGGCCGGCTGGGACGGGCGCAGGGGCCGAGCAGACGGGCGCGGAGGTCGTGAGGGCGGGCGCGGGGCCGGCTGGGACGGGCGCCAGGCAGACGCAGCAGGGCCAGGCAGGCGCGACGGGGCCAGGCAGGCGCGGCGGGGCCAGGCAGGGCGCGACGGGGCCAGGCGGTCGCGACGGGGCCGGGCAGGGCGCGACGGGGCTAAAGGGCGTGACGGGGCCCAGGAGGGGCGCGACGGGGCCCAGAAGGGGCGCGACGGGGCTAGGGGGGACGCGACGGGGCTTAGGATGGGCGCGGCTGGGCTAGGAGGCGCGGCAGGGCCCAAGAGGGGAGCGACTGGGCTAGGAGGCGCGACGGGGCCTAGGTGGGGCGCGACTGGGCTAGGAGGCGCGATAGGGCCCAGGAGGGGCGCGACTGGGCTAGGAGACGCGACGGGGCCCAGGAGGGGCGCGACTGGGCTAAGAGGCGCGACTGGGCTAGGAGGCGCGACGGGGCCCAGGAGGGGCGCGACTGGGCTGGGAGGCGCGACGGGGCCCGGGATGGGCGCGGCTGGGCTAGGAGGCGCGGCAGGGCCCAGGAGGGGCGCGACTGGGCTAGGAGGCGCGGCAGGGCCCAGGAGGGGCGCGACTGGGCTAGGAGGCACGGCAGGGCCCACGAGGGGCGCGACTGGGCTAGGAGGCGCGACGGGGTCCAGGAGGGGCGCGACTGGGCTAGGAGGCGCGATAGGGCCCAGGAGGGGCGCGACTGGGCTGGGAGGCGCGACGGGGCCCAGGATGGGCGCGGCTGGGCTAGGAGGCGCGGCAGGGCCCAGGAGGGGCGCGACTGGGCTAGGAGGCACGGCAGGGCCCAGGAGGGGCGCGACTGGGCTAGGAGGCGCGATGGGGCCCAGGAGGGGCGCGACTGGGCTAGGAGGCGCGATAGGGCCCAGGAGGGGCGCGACTGGGCTAGGAGGCGCGACGGGGCCTTGGAGGGGCGCGACGGGGCCTAGTTAGGGTACGAGCGGAAGCGGT